ATTTAAACAGGAACAACTAGAAATTTTCTGAGGAAATACTACTGCAGGTACTGTTATTTTTTTCATCATACATCAACTTTCTTCCCTAAATTCTTTTAAGAAGTGTTCTAATAATTCAAGCTGACAAACTGCCATTGTTTTCATGCATAAACTGTGGAAGAAATGCAAAACAAATGTTGACATTTCTGCAAATGGCTTATCAGGGCCACCATAGTAACTGCACACCAGGGTTTGTCACTCCCTGACAGCACTCCTAATAAGACAGGTAGACAGAAATTCAGACAATAAAGTAAGCATCAGACAGTTGTTGAAAAACTGTTTAAACTTAAGCTGTACTGAAAGCTTTCCTGAAACATAAGGGCCAGGACTTGGAGCATCAATCTCTTTTAAAATGGCTGCCACAGCTGATCGTGTACCCAAATGGCTACAGTTCCATTATTTCTTAATATAAGATAACTTTAGCTCAAAACTTTGTCATGAAAGACAGCAGGCAATATCTATTCCTCTTTGGAATGCGCTGTCAACTTTCCACAGGTTTTTCTAAACTTGCTGGAGGAGTAGAATTTTAAGTTGCTGGTGAAGATTCTCAGTCATCCAGGACATGATGAATTCAAAAATGTTCAATACAAAAACAACTGGACTTTATTTGTAACAGAAGACGTTTCGTTCCTCATCCGAGGAGCTTTCTCAATTCAAAGAGCAGTGAGTGAGGGGTTCAGGTTATAAGGCTGTGAGATAAGACACACATATGTAGATTGGCAGTTCACACCTAAACACTTTAACAGTAGGGGTTTCTTAAGGTCTTTGTTCCTCTAATTCACAGACGAGGCCCCTCTGTTCCCATCAGGTGTGAAAACTGGCTGGGAATCATCTTAAAGTTGCATTATAAGTTTTTGAAAGTGGAAATCTGAGGCCTCCTCCTCTGTTAAGAGATGTTTTTTCTCTTTTTACATAAATTGCTTCCTTCACCCCCCTCTCAAACCTTCTGTGTTCTCGGTCCAAAATGTGCACATATTGGTCCTCAAAAGAGTGTTCCTTATCTGTGAGGTGGAGGTGAACAGCTGAGTCTTGTGTTGAGCCATGCGTCTGTGAAGAGGCTGTTTAGTTTCCCCAATGTTTAGTTTTATTGCCCCAATGTTTTATTTTAGAATTTTAAGTTGTGATAAATTTGGAAAAATACCAGACAAATTGTAATGAATGCTTCATAGGCACCCTTTTACAACATCTTATAAATGCACCTTGAAGATTTCCTCCAACCTTACTGTCCCTCTTTTCAAACAAAAACCACAAGTGTGAGCTGTTTGTTGATTTAACTCCCAGTTTCTTATTAAATGTATATTTTGTGCTGTAAAACAACAGAAGTAGAGGAACAATGATGTAGCTACCATCATAGAAAACAGCTGCATCTATAGGAGCTGGAATCTCTGGCCACTGCTGCTCAATGAGCATCGGCGAGCCCTCCATCATGCTCTGCTTCTCGTTGTACCTGAATGTTATAGACAGGAAAAACAAAGATTTGTCTCAATTATTCTGCATGTAGGTTTCAACGCCTTTCATATAGAAACATCTCTCTGGAAAGCAAGATTAGTGGTATGAATAAAACAACACTGAGAAACCAGAGTCAGCAATTCATCCCACTGTGCCAACAAGGGAAAATTTTCAGTTGTTATGATGTCAAACTTAAAAGGAAGTACCCTGACTGGTCTAGTCTGGTTTACTTTATTCACAGTAACTCAAACTGAAACTGCATAAAATGTTGGTTTTACATTCCTGCAATAAGCTAGCTAAAAAGCTAAAAACAAACAACCTGCGGCTCGGCTGTGTTTCTCCAACCATCTCTAAACTGCGGGTACAAAAGCAGCTCTGCTGTTTTCTCTCCCCCCCACCCCGTTCTGGGCTGCCGGTGCGGGCACAGCTCAGCTGGGTCTCTTGAGTCCCACAAGGACCAAGAAAAGAGGCAGGTATAAAGACAGAGCATAAGAGAAATGAATCATTCCTTCATAGAGGAAGATGACACACCACAAGCGTCAGGGTCAGCTGATCACCTTGTCACAAGTTCTGGAAGTTATAGCTCATTTAAAGGCAACATATTTTTTGTTGTAGGTTACATTTATGCTCAACAGATCTTGAGCTTAATTTTATTTAGCTATTTTGGGAAACTGCACCTGCACTTTAGTTTATGTAGTAGATTTTATTGATCTTTTGTGCAGACTTTTACAATCTAAATAACAGAAGGATCTTTTATATATATATACTTTGAGAATGAATACTTTACTAAATAAAGTAATTTAAGTAAAATTAACCCTTGTTGTTGTTTTTGTTTGTTTTTATATAATACTGCAAAGCAACATGTTAAGTTAATTTTGTCAAATGAATAACTATGATTTCTGTTTTTTTTAGTTATATCACAAAATGTATCGTTATTGTCAGAATGCTCTGAAATATCACAATATTATATTTGCGCCATATCACCAGTGACGACCGGTATCAGTATCAGTAGGCTAGGTGGGCTAAGCCCTCCCTCCTGGCATTTACAATAAAGATATTAAAATAAACAAGTTAAAAATAACAACTTAAAAATAAATACATTTTAGAAATAATGTCACATTTTGTTAAATTTACAACAAAGCTGGTGTCAAAACGCTTGGAAAAAATCCCCGGGTCGTTCCAAAGGGTTAAATTCTGACAGCCCCGTTCTGTTACTGCTCCTTCGTGGTTCAGAATGATTGACAGACGTCTGGCCACGCCCCCTCGGTTTGAGGCTCATTGGGGCTAATTTTGTTCAGCTCAGGGTCCGCCCACAGCCACAGGATTCATCCAATGAGGAAGAACGTACAAGAACGTGCCTCAAGTGTGAGTGGATGTGGGCGTGGCTTGGTGTAGACTGACACGATGGCGAGCGATATTAGCATAAACGAGGTGGATTATTTAATGAATAAACCCTTAATGTCTATTGAGGAAAAACTGGTGGTGAAGAGGTTGGGGCTGGACAGACGAGGATATTCAAATCCAGCAAAGGACCGTGCTGTGTAACGTGCTGAACTTGGCCGGATATTAATTCAGCTCGGTCCAAATAATATCAACCTGTCAGTTCCGAGCTTATACCGAGCTTATACACACACAAGAGAGTTCTTTAAATTATTTTTCAAAGGTCATAAATATGATCAATTTGTAAACAGCAGTAAAATAAAACTCGCTCGGACATGTCAGCTCAGAAGTGCAGGAGGGTGGAGCTGTATTTAATAAACAAAAATCAGCTGTTCTGACCAAAACTTCAAAATAATCTGCCACTCACACACTCCTTCATGAAAATTAACACCAAACAAAACTGAATCATCTCACTGATTTCACTTTACGTAGGAAAATAAAGCGTCTCTGAAATAACTTAATTTCACCTATTTCATACGTGGAAGAGAGATCTGTCAATAATAAAAATAAAAAATATCCAATGAAAAGTCCGCAGTTATGCGCTCTGTCATGTTCGGCCGTCAGGTGTGTTTGAACCCACGTGCAGGAGGATGACGAGGACGCTCGAGGAATAATAAAAAATGTTTATTAAACGAAACAAAAACAAAACGCTGACAGGGTAGCTACTCACAGACTAATCGAATGGATGGAACGGAAGGCTGAACACAACACCATAGAAGGACATTTCCGAGACAAAGACAAGACGCAGGTGAACTGAATATATACACAGACACTGATAGGGACAATGACAGACACCTGCAGTGATTACCATGAGACACAGGTGAGGCAGGGGCTGAACACAAGGAGGAAAAACAGAGCTGAACAAGAAACATGAGGAAACAGACAGAGACGGGACAAAACCCCCAAAACCCTACAGTACCCCCCACTCAAGGGATGGCTCCTGACATCCCAAAGACATCCAACTTGGGTGAGAGGCGGGACAAAACAGGACAAGTAGACACAGGACCAAAAGAGCAAAAAACCAGCAGGAATAAACCCTGGGAAACACCAAACACAAAACACAAAGACCCCGGACCCCATGCCAGAGTCAATGTGGGCGGTCAGGAGACCATCCAGGGCAGGACCAGTACTCAGGAGGGTGACCAGGTGACCATCCTTGATGAGGCAAGAGCTCATGAGGGCGGCCAGGAAACCATCCACCCTCAGGCCAGGGTTCCAGTGGGTGACCAGGGGACCGTCCCTTCCCTGGTAGTAGAGGAGTCCATCTCTGCCTGCCTAGACTTGGGTGGATGAGGACCTCCAGAGCCAAACCAGGAGTGAGGACTTTCGCAGGCGGGTCAGGAACAAAGGTTACAGGCGAGCCGGGGACGAAGTTCATAGGCGAGCCAGGAGCGAGGACCTCCAGAGACGAGCCAGGAGCGAGGACCT